TCTTCATTCTGAGAACCATTAACTAGCCTGAGCTCAAACGTGGAATTAAAAGGAGGTCACAGAAACTCTACCTAAACTTGGCGTGTCTGCTTAGGGTTGTAATATTCCACACACAGCTTGCTTTGCCAGTATGACATGTGCAAAGACCATCATTCATCTAGCTAAAATATTCCTCTAACTGAAGGTTTTAAAGAGAAATGGGACAAAAAACAACAAATAAAGCAGGCATAAACTCCAAACATGATGTTCAATGGCTGTGGAAGACATGAAAATCCTAAACTCTAGTAAAAGTCTAGACATGCATTAAGAAAGGGGAGCTCCCACCACTCACATTTGAGGATTGAAGTTCAAACGTTCTCTCTTTGGGATCCACAACGGAGCTCTCCTGAATGTAGGTGCAGCTCCGTACGTTTCCAATGAGCTAAAAGAAAGAGGCAGACATTAACAACCAGCATAAAAATAGGACAGTATCACACAAACACTTATTCAGTTCTTATTTAGACGTAAATCTTCATCTTTGAAAGTTTCCTCTTCAGTAAAGCTTTTTTGTTTTTTGGAAGTTATAGTAAATACAGCTTTTGCACGAAAAAAAAAAATCTCTTATTTGCTAAAGGGCGAAGGGATTTTAAATCAAAGCCAAATAGAACCTTTATAAAAACCCAAGATAAAACATAAAATATCTTGTCTATTCATGCACAAAGCACGAGTGTTTTACTGACTAAATGGAGTGTTAATAAGTTGTCAGTGGCAGAGGCTAGGTTGAAATAGTTAGAATGGACCAGTTTTAAAAAGTCAAGCGGCATATACAATGGTTGCTATAAAATGCTGACATAAGACAATGCGAGTCAGACAGAACTGCCCCATATCAGTTTTCTGCAACCTCATCACTCCAGAGTTCAGTAAGTCAGGGCTACCTTAGGGAAGGGTTCAAATTACAAGTTGTGCAACTGCAGAGGGCTTCGTCATTGCACCGCTTTCAAGTCACCTCTGCTTCTGACCGAGCTGACGGAAAGTTACATCACATGGTGTCAGGGATCACATCTGAGCAATGATGGATATGGGACCACTGTGTCCTGTACAACACGGGCTGTGGCACACAGCCATGAACCCGGAGCCCATGCCTGGTACTATAACTGGACAGAAATAGCCTTGAATGTTCAGGTCAGACTTGCAGCATGGAAAGTTAGTCATGTGAGGATGCATTTGGATTCATGTATTTAGTTTTAATTCTAGATTTAATGTCAAACTTTTTTCTTTTTTTTACCGCAGTCAACACTTATGAGTGAAAAGTTTTGACACTCACAGATTTCACAATGGACGGCAGACCCCACTCTGTGCTGAGCAGCCTTGTACTTCGGAGGCGGCCCTGTTGGTCGACGTTTCGCTCTAGAACATCCACTCCAACGACGCTGGGATTCATAGGATTGGGATATTTCTGCATAGCAGCCTTCGTCACCATCTCCCAAGGATGGCTGTGGATAGTAATCATAAATACTATTACCAACTATAGTCATTTGCAAACAGACAGCATAACAGAATGAGCCATACAATCAAAAGCTTAATGAAATATTATCAGTAGATTTAAGTAAAATACATCCAAAATGGTTGGATTCAAAATGTCAAGACGGATTTTGGCATTTGAACTGGAGGGAACTAGGATTTAAATGAGCAACCTTTAGACTTAAAACGACCTTTAACAGCATTGAAACCATTTCCTTTTTATAGCACACTTATTCTCAAAGTTAAATAGTAAACACTAAAGAAAAACTATGGATCATATTGAAGCATCAAAAATACAGGGCCCCAACTTAAAAACTAAATTAGATTCATGGATTGGATCCAATTTAAGGGAATTATTACTATAATTTCATTTATTTTACTTTTAGTAATTCATTTATTCCAGACAAACTTTCCTAGAGGATGTTATGATTTTTAAAGACAAAGGCACTTAAAATAACAAATTAGTTTCTTCTTTAAGATTTAGGAAATACAAATTATAGGAATAAAGTATTAAGACAGATATGAATAAATCAAACCCTATTTGAAAAAAAAAATTCATTTCGTCACGAAAAAATGTTTCAAATGAGAGCTTTGGGTAGAGCAGTGTTGATATGGTAGTGTTGAACGGTTTCCATGGCGACACGTGAACACGCCGGTGAGTGACGTAAGAAGCTACGGCAACACGTACGGAAGAATGTAGGCGAAAGGTTAAACACCGCAGCTCACCGGTCCGGGCGGCGAATTACATAAGGTTAAAAAAAATGCAGAGATCAGTCAATGACAGCGGACTGTGGTCAATTCTTTTTTTTCCCTTAGCTGCTAAGTTTTATAGACTTTTTCAATTATTCCTCCATCCTTAAAAAAAAGAAGAAAATCAGTATCTACAAGAAGCAATATAACTGAATTCTTACAAAACAATCCTACTAAGTAAGGGTTCTCGCCTTTTTAGGCATATAATCACACAATTTAAATGAAAATCAAGGTTAAATTAACCCCTCTCAAGCTTCCTAGAGAGGGGACAGGTTTGATTAATAATCAAACCTGCCCCCTCTCTAGGAAGCTTGAAACAATCGTTTCAACGCGCTGTCTGTGTGGATAAAATCGGTGCTTACTTGAATATGTGTTCTGAGGTCCAGATCTTCATGATTTAATGAAGTGAGCAGCAAAGAGGTAGAAGCTCGACGTGAAGCAAAGTAGGAGTCTGAAGCGTGAATGAACCGCCGGCGGAAAGACGTTCACGCCGAGAAATGAGTGACATAGAAACCCCTCCTCTCTTCTCAGCGCGGTCACGTGACAAGATCAGGCCCTTCCGCTTTTTTATTGTACGTCACTGGACCCCGTGATGCAAAAGAAAACTCTTCAAAAATATGTATATAACACATAAAGTAGGCCTAAATCAAATTCTCATTGCCACGCATAGAATAATATTAATTATTGGAGGGTTAATGCGTTTTTTTTTTTTTTAACGTTTTCTGTCTCCAGCTTCAGGCAGCAATCATTTTCACCTTGGATGTTACAAAATTCAGCTCAATGATAATTGCAGAATATTATCAGCTGGTGCACATGTCAATTAAATGTTTATTGAAAAATGGAATGCATATCAAAATTAGTCTGTCCATCGAATATGATCTTTAAAAACTATTATGGATTTCATTTACTAATGTGCTATATATTTTCATAAAGTATTTCTGATTGTTTATATGTTCTAATCACGTGGTCTGATTTGAAGATGTAGAAGGAAGATAAAAGAAAATGCGTTTCTGTTCATTTTTGACACATGTTTTAAAATTGCCCAAATTACAAATTGTATTATTATGTAACCATTAACAAGAGAAATAAATACACTGATTACTTTCTCATCGTCACATTTATTATAGGGAAAGGGTAATATAAGGGGAAACATTTTACCCTAAAAACTTATTTGTTTGAAGCAAGAAAATGGGCAATCAACAAATAAAATAGAGCAGGTGTTATGAGGACCAAATTGTGGTGTGTAGATGACTGGATCAGAGCATCTCCAAACCTCCAGCTGTTGTGGTGTGTTCCCAGTTTGTAGTGGTTCGATAGTCTCTATCAAATGTTGTGTAATGAATGAAAACTGCATAACGTTTGGCAGGGTTCATTAAATAAAGTGGTAGATGGTCATAATCTAGCAGGACTACTCTAACTCAGATTTCAGATAAAGTCAAGGCTGTATATGATAGAGCATTGTGTCATAGTTGGATGTATATGAGCCTGCGTTGCTACAGACTGATCAGACTGTAAACGTAATTCCCTGTAGGCTATGGCATATTTAAGCAGGGTAATATGTCCAGAGAAAAAGCAGAAATGGTTAATGAATGGTTTGATGAGCTTTAGGCATTGACATGGGCTCAAGATTTCCCAAAGCTAAATTCAAGTGAGCATCTGTACGATATGTAAGACTAACAAGTATGATCCAGTAGACCCCACTTAATAAATGACAGAACTTGAAGGATCTACTACCAATAACATCAGATACCACAGCACATCCCTAGAGGTCTCCCTGATTCACTGCTTCAATGAGCCAGGGCTGTTTGTCAATATAAAGGGGAGTGTCGGCCTAGTGGTTAGAGTGGCGCGCTTGTGCTGTGAGAAGGTTGCAAGAACCCACTTCGATCCCTGCAGCCTGCACTCTTGGTCCCTAAGCAAGACCCTTAACCCCACACTGCTCCCCAAGGGGATGGGTTAAATGCAGAGGTAAATTTCTCCAGTGTGAGATCAATATCAATAATTATTATAATTTAGAATTTTACTAAAAGTCTATGAAGACATGAACATTTCCCCTTCAGCTATTCTGATATTTTTACTAAAGCTGTTAGTAAAGTAAACATTAAAAGTTTTATTGCAAGTCTTTTTTAGACATATCTATTTCACAATATTTCTACTTTGCTTAATTGAGACCTTGTTGGCCCTACAGGAATATATTAGTTGGCATTTTAACCAATAATACACATAGGATGTAATGTTTCACAGTGCCGTACAAGAGATCAGTCAACTTTACTGCAGAGTGCAGGGACATCTCAAAGTCAGTTGTCCTTATCTTGGAGTGAACACACTCTGTCAATGTCATGCATAATCGCAGGGCTCCAGACTTGGGCAAGTGGGAGGAAACAGTGTGACAGCCTTGAACGGTATCATGTTGGCGTGCTATCAGAGTCCTCTCCAACACTACAGTTTGCCCAGTTTTACTTCAAATTATCAAACATACTGTCAGGGGAGACATATATATACATATATATTAGGTTTTAATGGATGTTCCTTTTTACATACACAAAAAATTTAAATATCACAATTATTTTTAAAGGTGTAGATTACATAGAAATGCAAAAAGTATTTTTTCCTAAAGATATACAAATAAATTCATCAAATATTTCAAAGAGAAAAAAAAAAACTAATTACAATGACTGATAAAAAAAAAAAACATGTATTGTTGCAAAAATATTTGTATTTTTACATACATGAGTTACATAAATGCTTGATAACCTAAACAGCTTTTTTTTGATAATATCAATAATAATAATAACAACAATAAAAAGAAAAAAGAATAATAATACCAATTTTTTCTTTTATCTGATTTCTTTCTTATAAATGCATTAACATATAATACACCCATGGAATGGAAAAAATAAAGCTAAATTAATTAGTCTGCACAAAAACACATATCAAGCTGACAGCTTTTAAGCAGTGAGCCACAGGTTTCATCTTACAATGTTAACAGGAACACAAGGACATTCATACAAACCTGGCTGGATTAAATATTTTCTTTTACTGCTCTGACCTACACTGTCCCTATGGAGTGGCTGTTTACTATAAACTCTAACCTTATGTGCACCTTCACTGACGTTAATCTAGATGTCACAACTCTCACTCCACAAAGAGTGAATGGACCAACTGTTATGTCATGTTTTACATTGGTTATTGTTTTATTTCACCATGGATAAATTGTCTGGATTACAGCTAACACACTCTTCTGACATGATTTTTTACTATTTCATGGCTCAGATCTCCCAGAATAAAGTTCCCAATAGATTATACTATACCTTCAACATTATAATAATTAGAAATTGCATATTCGAGTTTCTGAGGGTCAGTTATGCGAGCCATGTCTGTGGGTGTGGTATCTTTCACTTTCAATGAGGTGTTTATGTTTCAAATATAATTTTGCATGGGTTTTATAAGAGAAGCATGATGTGCATGTGCACATTGAGTCTAGACTGGATGGATATGAATTCATCCTAGCTGAATTTGGTGAAGAAAAGGCATTAATCATCTTTTTAAACTCTTTTACTTTGATTAAAGACAATCAAAGGGTCGGCAGAGAACAAAAAGCAAAAGGTTAACATAAATTCAAATTACAAACGTACTAAGTATTAAATAAATGCAGCTAATGTATACTCCCCCTCTGTCATTCATCCTTCCAATGAAAATTTCCAATAGGCCTACCAGAATTTGCCTTCTGGAGAGCAGTGATGTCAAGACTTTTCTCCCTAAAGTAAATTTCTACATACAATCTGAGGCCTTCCAAAGTGTTTGGTGGGTAAATCTGTCTCATTAGTCCTGGGTCTACCCTGCGGCATCTTCTTGGCATAGAATGTATTTATTTCTATGAGCTGAAAAGTTATGCAAAAGCTAAAAAAAAAGTCCTAAAACACTGCCCTCTATACAGCCTTGCTTTAATCTCATTAAGGAAACCAAAGTATTTCGGCTCAATTTGCATGTTTTCTAAGCCATAACAAGGCTTTTGTTGGGCTATTCTATTAAACTCTGAACTCAACGCTAATCCAGACATTTTGAATAGAGAAAACTTTCTGGATGGGAAGCGAAATGTCTTCAAACTTGGAAAACAAAGTCCAGTGTTTTTTTTTTATTTTTTATTTTTTACTTTTTTAACCTATTTTGGGATGACCTGACCTGGATGACTGAGAATCTTCATCAGCAAACCAAAGTATTAAACAGCTTAACCTACAAATATGAAAAATTAGTTTACAAAGAAATTAGCTACTGTACAAGGTCTTAATTCTTTACCCCAAAGAGTCCTTAGTTGTGAAGCTGTATTTGTCACCCACACTACTCATCTACAGTTTCTTTAATGGTTTCAATCACTGTTTCCAGTTTGGTTTCAGTCTGAGACTGAAACTTTGTGGTCCCTGCAGATGAGGGTCCTTCCTCTTCTTCATCTTCTAGTTCCCAATCTAAATCAGCAGTTGCATCTTGGTACTGCTGGTACTCTGACACCAGGTCATTAAGGTTACTCTCTGCCTCTGTGAACTCCATCTCATCCATACCCTCTCCTGTGTACCAGTGGAGGAATGCCTTCCGTCTAAACATCAGGGAGAACTGCTCTCCCACTCGGCGGAATATCTCCTGAATGGCTGTGTTGTTACCGATGAATGTGGAAGCCATTTTTAGACCTCGAGGAGGGATATCGCACACAGCCACCTTTACATTATGGGGGATCCATTCGACAAAGTAGGCACTGTTTTTCTGCTGTATTGCAAGCATCTGCTCATCCACCTCTTTGGTGGACATCCTGCCCCGGAAGACACCAGCCACTGTTAGGTAGCGCCCCCGCCGTGGGTCGCATGCCGTCATCATGTTTCGGGCATCAAACATCTGCTGGGTAAGTTCAGGCACAGTGAGAGCTCTGTATTGCTGGCTACCCCTTGGTGTCAGAGGGGCAAAGCCTGGCATGAAGAAGTGGAGACGGGGGAAAGGCACCATGTTGACAGCCAGCTTCCTAAGGTCAGCATTAAGTTGTCCTGGAAACCTAAGAGAGGTCGTGACCCCACTCATGGTCATAGAGACCAAGTGGTTGAGATCCCCGTAAGTTGGTGTGGTCAATTTCAGGGTACGGAAACAGATGTCATAGAGAGCCTCGTTGTCAATGCAAAAAGTCTCATCTGTGTTCTCCAGGAGCTGATGTACGGAGAGCGTGGCATTATAAGGCTCCACCACTGTGTCAGAGACTTTAGGAGAAGGCATGATGCTAAAGGTAGTCATGATCCGATCTGGGTAGTCCTCTCTGATCTTATTGATGAGTAGGGTACCCATGCCGGAGCCTGTGCCACCCCCCAGCGAGTGAACCAGCTGAAAGCCTTGGAGGCAATCGCAGCTTTCACTCTCGTTCCTCACCCGGTCCATCACCTGCTCCACTAACTCCGCTCCCTCGGTGTAGTGGCCCTTTGCCCAGTTGTTTCCAGCTCCTGAGCTCCCTGAAATGCAAGATTTAAAGAAGGTAGGTTAGTTTAACCACAATAGTTAGGTGCAAATACTCAACAGTTTAGGCTTTAATTAAGGTTGTTTTTTTTTTTTCGTGTAAAGTAACCTTTCTAAAAGTGAAATTGAAATGGATAATAACAATAATAATATTGTGTTTTTCTTTGATGTTTGCCTCACCATGGATGAAGTTGTCTGGTCTAAAGAGAGCACCAATGCGACTTCCTCTGACACTGTCCATAGTGCCAGGCTCCAAGTCCACAAGCAGTGCTCTTGGGACAAATTTACCACCTATAACCAAAATCAATGCATTTAAAAAAAATTATTGGAAATATACATCTCAAATCAATGTATTTCTGTGATTTAACAATAAGCCCTTTACTGAAAACATAACAACAGAAAATTAGGAAATTAGGTTTTGAACAACACTGGTCAAACAGATGAATTGGTGTGGTACCATGCGCCTCATTAAAGTAGACGTTGACCCTCTCCAGTTGGAGGTTGCTGTCTCCTTCATAGATACCAGTTGCATTGATCCCATGTTCTTCACTGATTACTTCCCAGAACTGCAACAAAAAGTATTGCTTTAATATGTGACTCATATAAACATATAGAAACACCAAAGCTATTTGGATGAAAAGTAATAAGAAATTAGATTTGTCCCGAATCTTTGCATGGTTCTGTTTGTGTTAAAGAATTTCAAACAACAAAACAAAGACATTCTCTATTTGTATATTTTTGTATGAGCTAGATCAGGACCAGCTTAAAAATAATAAAACTGCAGTTTAGGATTTCAGGACATCTGACTGTAGATTACCACAAAATGTCAAAAAAAAGCATATGTTGCCAATTTTTTTATCATTTTGTTGTTCCCCACTCTTGTTTCGTGTTAGCTCTGATAAAAACGTCCCACCCACAGCGTTTCTGCTTTGGTTCTTATCTTTTAAAAGGGAGCTTGACAGGGAACACCCTCTGTCACTCACAATAAGTGGCAGACCAAATGCAGAAGTTAAAATATTTACAAGAATAATTGTACAAGAATAATTATACAAGAATAATTATACAGAATAGTAAATACACATACGATTTAGTAATAGTCAACATTGTTCTTATAAATGTCTTACTTCATCATATTCCCATACAAAATCAAGCATTTTAAATGCCAGTTATGTGGTTCATGTGAAATTGTATACAGATGAAATTTTTGTTAATGTTGCTTTTTTTATTACCTTTGAGCCGATCTGGTTGCCACATTGTCCAATTTGCAGATGTACAATTTCACGCATGATGATCGAAAGACAGTCCACAGAGCAGCTGAGGGTCCGAGATAGTCCTCAGTCTCCCATCTGTCTTATATATGAGAGCAGAAATGATGTCATCAGTGACATAAGGAAGTGCACGATTCAAAAAAAAAAGTTGATAGTCCCAGAACTCACAATGAAATCTTATTATTCTGCACTGCAATAGTCTTATTCCTCTTGGCTACTGCAGGTTATATGATCTTACAAGGAGCAACAGTCTTGTAGACTTTTTGTAGCCCTGAATTTATTTATCTATTTATGTGTTTATAATTGTTCAGCGTATGGCTACCTGCTGGCTATGTCATCTCCATAACTTGTTCTTTTCTCTGGCTACATCTATGCGTTTATGCAAAAATATTTGATTTTAAAAACAAATGCATATATGTGTACTTTATCAGCATTGGGGTGCTTCTTACAGAGATATTAAGGTAAAACACTTTTTTGGGTTAAACTTCTCATTTTAATGCGCAGAAGAAATTCTTTGCTCTTCAGCCAAATAAGATTTTTGAACTGCTGCAATATATGGTATTGATGAGCTGGAGTTAGTGTAATAAAGGTGAATGGAAGTGGATAATTTTATTGCATTGATAAGCATCAAATAACATGTATCTCAGCAACTGCATCATTGAGATCCTCCATGCAAACTCAGTCCCACTACTTCTCACAAAATATAACAATATTTTACAACATTTCTTCTCTTCCAAATAAAATATTATTTTTACATTCATTACATTTTATTTTCTTACATTCAAAATGTAATCCGAACAGTAAAAAAACAAAACAAAAAAAAAACTAAGATTGCTTCTCCATTATCGTGGCATTGCTGGTAAATGGTCAGCTTTGAGGGATGCTGCCATCTAGTGGATAAACACCGTTATGAGAGGTTACAAGTGAATATCTTAAAGTCATTTGATTTGTCTAATTTAAAATTGTCAAATTAAAAGTTTTAGCTTGAAGTTTATAGTTTGATAATAAAAAGCAAAAACTGATTTAATTCCAAGTAAATTGTAAGCTTCTTTCCTATTTCTTTTTAGCGTTTATATCACAGGCTTGGCGTAAATGAAATACAAATAAATATTCCTATATTTCTAATATTCAAAAGGCAATTTAGGGTACTATATCTTCTTGAGCAAGCAACTGAACAGTTCAAGAGCTTCAGTAATGTTCCAAACTTTATAGAACTGTCTGCATCATTTGATTTTAAATTCTTAGATGTTGAATTTCTAATTAAAGCGTAGAAGTACAGTACTAATAGATGTTACATTTATAAAATTATTTTGTTTATCGTGAGTTACATCTTTAGAAAGTTTTACAATACAAAAAAGTAAGAGAAGAACAGGTGGTGAAGGACAAGTGTGGATAACAACAGCTGTCTTTTATAGGTCTGTCCTAAATCTACTGAGCCAACTTAAAAGACATTAGTTTCTAAAACCAAAGAACTTTAATAAGATTCTGTATTATTTGTGTGTTTTCTTGAATAATGTATACATTGAAAATGTAAACTGGCCTAATTTCCAATTTACACGAAGTGGATCGGAAAATAGTTGATGCAGGTTCAGGGGCCTGGTGAAGGTAACAACCCTACTTTATATTAAAAAAAATATATAATAATATAAGAAGGATAGAAATGACAGAGATGCCCTAGAAATTTGTGTCTGGATGGTAAGGATAGGAAAACCATGACATAGTGCTGAACCTACCATTATAATATTTCACAATAACTCCAAAACTGTGCTAATGACTCATCCAGGAGGTTATAGAAAATCCTGGAACAACAACATGTATAAAAAGAAAAAAACTGGATGATTCTGAAGACTTTTGGAAGAAAATTCCTCTGACTAATGAGACTAATGTAAAACTTTTTGGGAGTGACATGACATCTGGTATAAATAAATATAGTATTTATTTCATATTTAGTATAATAAAGCAACAACAGAATAATTCTGAGGTAAAGAAAACTTATAGAGCATTGTTTTAGGTTTATTTCAGTATAGACAAACAAATTGAACATTTATATGTTGTGCTTTTAGGTCATATTTTTATTATTTTATCTTTGTTCAGTCACGGTGAAAAACACCTATAAGGTTTAGTTCACACAAAATATTTTTGTTATATTTCAGATTATGTGGATTCTGGCAATAATGAATCATAAGAATGTTCAAATAGAAATAAACAATCATAAGTTGAAGGATTCTTAGGTATATTTTCACAACCACCTAATCTCGAAACATGGAATCCAAAATGTGGTGCATAATGGCCAAAACAATTTCACCAGACTGAAAGAAAGAAAAAATATTTCCTGCTCCAAACAAACCAACCAAAACAGCTGAGCAAGATGTCCATTTTAAAGCCAAGTATTCATCCTGTAACCTGCCTTTCTGATTCCAGTCATTAGTTCCACCCTCTGTTGTCTGTTGAGGTTCATTAGAGAGCTGCAGCAGCATTTAGTTGTCACTGATGACCTTTTTGTGTTTTGCCCTGAGCCTTTTGACGCATTTATGGAGGGAGTTTCTTTGTGTGTGTGCCAGTTTGTCTCCTGTGTATGATTTGTGATGGAATCTGTATTTATATGTGTGCATGTCAGATTTTAAAGGGCATGAGCCATTTAAATATCCCGATCGCTATCAGGTGAGATAAGAAAGAATAAAGGACTAGACATCTTTTGTTAAAGAATGTTCTCCAAACCACACTGCACTCTTGTTCTTCAATTGATCTTATTGGAAAGTTGACTAACACAACTCATCTTAAAACTCAAAATGGGTTACATAGGGCATAGATAAAAAAAAAAAAAGAAGAAGAAATAAAGAAGGTAAACTGCCCAAAGAGTATTTCCATGTTGATTCCTCATTTTGGCTTTTTAGAGCTGCCCAGCTACGTAGTTTAGATTTTTACAGGCAGAGTTCTCTGATGTAGTCTTTACTATTTAATTCTATAACTTGTGATGTTACTGTAAAGCAGCTGGCAGAAACAATATGAGAGCTACAATATTTCTAACAAGTACCCTTTGTGTTTTTACAAGTGATAACTATCGACTGTATATTTTTAATGTATGTCTGAAATAAAAAGTATAGTTTTAAGATATGCAACTTTTTTTCTTTTCCACAAAAGAAACCAGGCCAAAGCTAAAACTTTCCTGGACCTACATGGGAATATATTTTATCCAGGTAAATGTTTTGGACGACATTTACAAAAGTCAGGTAGAAAAACACAAAGCAGCGACTAAAGAAAACTGTAGTTGCGTTGAAACAAGGTGGTGGAAGCTTCATGAATTAAGAGACGCTTTAAAAAATGCTGCTTTTTTTTTTTAGAAGAATTGTATGGGACATAAGTCACATTCAAGGCAAAAAAATATATATATTTTTTAACAATATAACACTTTTTTATGCCCCCCCCCCCAAAAAAAAAAAAAAAACTGGAACTTTCAATAGAGACATTCTACCTTCTATAAGCTCCTGCAGATGTTCAGAATAACTGTCATAAAAAAAAAAGCCTACATATGCCCAATTTTTCTTCTTGTTTTTAAATTTAGTTTGGAATTGTATTGTATGCATAATCCACAAAGAAAAATTGCCTCTATATGTTTTTGATCATTTTAGGATGTTCACAGCTTTCTGTGATTTAATGAAACTGTTTACTGCACATTTATATTTTACCTTTTTTACTGTAAACATGGAGGCTTGTATGAATGTTTAATATAAAGACATTGCTTTTGATCAACTTTCATCCAGCAATGATTTAAGTTAAAGCTTTTAGTCCACATGTGGTATACTGTCTTGTTCTGTGTGTGTGTGTCTGGGATTTCTTTATAACATAATCCATAATCTTTCAGAGTTTTTAATGTAGGCTGGGTAGACTGATAATCATTTTTGCCTCAAAGAGGGCGCCTCTCCCCTTCTGTACCTCTGCTTCTTGACGCTCCGGGCAATCATGTGATCCGACCAAAGACCGACCCTGTTTTAAAGACCAGAGTCAAGCCACAGCAAGGCGGAAATCAGCAGCACCACTTTTTTACGCTTCAAATTAAAAGCCCGAAACTTCATAGAGGGCAAAAAAAAAAAGAAGAAAAACTGTTCTTCAGGTTATCAATAGAACATGAACAAAACAATACAATACTTTACAATAAATTACTGCCCAAGAAGTGTCCTATCATATTTTGATATCTTGCTAAAGAAGCAAACATTTGTTAATTGTGCTTGAAATACTACTTGTGGCTATTTGTGCTTTTATTATTTCAATTGATTTGTTTTTATATATTAATTGAATAATTCCTACTATAACTAATTCCAAACAAATTTTTCAGTAGCCTGCTTGTACTTGAGATACACATATGACCCCTAAACTAAATAGGGAAATCCGTTGCCTTTGAGATATTATATATATATATATATATATATATATATATATATATATATATATATATATATATATATATATATTGTTTGTTTTGCTTTGGGACATTTCAAATTACTGTCAATCTAAATCTCATCCTCACCATAGGCTAGATAGATTAAAAACATTGAAACTAGGCAGAAATGTGTAAAACTAGTATTGAATAAAAAAAAGTAATAAAGTTTTTTTTATTATTATGGGAACAACAATTTGTATTTTCATTTAGTCTAAAACATGCTGATAGACAATAATTCTTCAGAAATCTTTAAGTAAACATGTTTTCTGTTCAAGGAACAAAGCTGAAAATGAACAGACCCCCAAAGGTTTTATAAATTTTATTCAAATCTATTGATTTAAATCTTACTTACTTTTCTAGATCCAACAATGCAAATCAGGTCAAAGATATTTAAGTGACAGCGGAAAAAAATAAATGTTGTGTCAGAATTCAAATACCTAGGCATCCTAATAGACTCTAAATCCCAGTTCAAAAAGGTGGGAAATAGAGTTAAATTCAATATTACAAATTTCCGTTTCATCAGATAGAACTTGTCACTCCAGGCAGCTAAATGTTCATGTACAGTATGGTTCTGTCCCACATCACCTACTGTCTTACAACCTGGTCACAGGCTTAGAAAACCACACTAAAACCTTTAGAATCTCTTTACAAACAAAGAATAAAAAATTAGGATAAAAAAACCCCATCAAAATATCACCATTGTGCCATTATACTAAAACATAAGTTTCTAAGCTTATCAAGCTCATCAAGTATGCAAACCTCTGTCTGTTTTACAAAATAATCAATGGTCTGTCATCTCCTCCACTCAGTCAGTTTGTGAAAATCAAGATCCGAAGGGTCGGCTAGAGTAGACTGTGTTGTTCCTCTGCGTAAAAGTGCTTTTAGTCAAAGAGCCTTTGCAGTCACAGCATCTCAGGAATGGAACTCTGTCCTTCAGAACAGCAGAGAACTTACAACATACACTATTTTCAAAAAGCACCTAAAAAAACTGGCTCAAGATTTAACCCATGTACTTAACTAAATATATATATATATATATATATATATATATATATA